CGCCTGCCCTGTTCCTCTTTCTGTCTTCAAAGGGGCTTACGATAGCAGGAGGGCGCCCTCCCTCTCCCTCCCTCTCTCTCTCCCTCTCCCTCTCCCTCTCTCTTTCTCCCTCCCCCCTTCTCTCTCATGCACACACACACGTATACTCTCCTCCACACTAACACTCATACCGTCACACATGGGTTGATCACATTGTACATCCCATTCTGTTACTTGCCTCCTCCAGGACAGCTCTCCATGCTTAAGCTTGCATTTCTACCTCATTCTTTTTCAAGGCCTGCTTAAAACTCCAAAAGCACAGATGTGCCATATATTTTCAGCCGTTCCCCACTTGGTGAGGATTTGAGTTATTTCTAGTTTTTCTCTACTACAGGCGAGCCTCACTAAGCAGCCTTCCATACATTATTCCCGCTCGCACATATTCAGGCACATACCTTTCTCAAGCCATGATCCCTCGGGGTGGTAATTTGCTGGGTCAGAGGGTGGCCGTCATCTCGTTTCTACAGCAAGAGAACCTCTACAGCCGGAGAACCAAACGTGCTTCCCACACCTCAGGAGGTGGGCCATAGGAGTCAGTAACAGGACAATCCCAACCTGTGCGCCTTTCTGTTCCTCTTCAGGTACGAGGTGATCTGCCAAAGCTCAGAGCTGGCCAAGGACATCCTGGTGCCCTCCTTTGACCCCAGGAGCAAGCACTGTGTGTTTCAAGGTGACCTCCTGCTGTTCAGCTGCGCAGGCGCCCACCCCAGGCACCAGAGGATCTGCCCCTGCCGGGACTTCATCAAAGGCCAGGTGGCTCTCTGTAAAGACTGTCTATAGTGGCCACTGGCACATGGCCCCACATGCACTCCACTGGGGAAGACAGTGGCTCCAGCCCCGTCCTGGCAGAGCCAGGGGGTTGCAGACCTCATTCAGGGACTCTTGCCAGAGCCTGAAGTTTTTGTTGAAAGGTTTCTATTTGGGAATGCTCCTAGTGGGTCAGAGCACCACAGCGGAGTTTTCCCCAAAACAAAACGAGAGCAGGAGGGGAGCCTGGCTTCTTCCCAGCACAACTTCGTTTTATTTTTTGAGGAGCAACTGTACGGAGAATCTGTCGATGCAGCTGCTCCAAGATAGAGAATCTCAAGATTCACTTAAAACAAAACAAAACCAGAGGAGGAATTGGGCTGGTTGGAAAGAACTTTGTGTGGGAACATTCCTGAATCCATTAAGTTATTTATTTGGGAGGGAGGGAGGGGGAAGAGGGGAGGGCAAAGAGGGATCACACGTCTTTTTTGATTTTCCACTGTTTACCATCCACCTTCACAATAATGTATCTGTCAACTTCAGGCGAGGTGCAGGAGGGACAGAGACAGGGTGCACTTTGGGGCTGGTGACACACTTAGAGCAGCTGTGGGGACCACGCTCCTCAATGTGGATAGTGGCAAAACAAAAGAAAATCTCGTGTGTGTGCTTGAGGGATGGCAGCTAGAGGACAGGTGCCCCCTGGGCATGTGGGGCTCTCGGTCAACTTGATGTTGGCCTGGGGAGCAAGGGCAGGCCAAGATGAATGTGACTCACTGTCCTGGCTGCTCCCCCTTGGGGGTGCGGATGGGGGTGGCTTGCAGGGGAGTCTGATGCTGGCTTTTACTCCAGGCGCGAATATTCTGAGGGGGTTGAGCCAGTTGGCAGGTTGGCCTGGTCAGACTCATTTGACCCCCTTTCCAGCCCCAGAGTCTCTGTGCTCTGCCCTCGTGTGAGTTTTCCACTCCCATCACCCCACCCCCACTAAGCACTGTTTCAGTTCTCTGGGTATAAGTGTATGTTTCCTGTGACGCCCCTGGCATCTCCATGCTGGTAAGTGAGCCCTCTCCCTCTTGCGGAATGTCCCAGCGCTCAGGGGTGGTTTTGAGTGCCTTGGCGCCACCAGCAGCCCTGGCTTCCCAGCACCATGAGTGCCCTTGGGCAGCTGGCCCAGCCTCCACCAGATAGAACAGCTAACAAGACTGATGGGTGGGTGGGCCTTCAAGAAGTGAGGCTAAATGAAGGAATCTGTTTCAGAGGACCAGAGAGAGAGTGGAGGGAGCCTTTAGGTTATGAGAAGTCAGATTCTGCCTGCTCCTTGATTCTTCCTTGGTGCATAAATAATACCAAATGCACAATCAGTCTTTTCTTTTTTTTTTGCTTATCTCTCAGTGGGTCTGAATCACACCTCCAGTCTTTGAGAATGGAAGGGCTAAAGAGGGGCAGCTAGGGTCCCCACCTCATGTGGCCCATGAGTACATGTGCTAGGGAGAGCGCTGATGGGGAGGCCGGGGCCCAGCAACAAGGGCAGAAGTTCGAAGGAAACCTTGGTAGTAGGGTGTGAGTTAGTATGTTTTTTAAACTTTGCAAGGGCAGTTTGCTGCAGTTGGAGGAGAAATAACTGCCATCCTTGCTGTTAGGAGCTGCTTTTCCCTATGAATGGGCCCGTTGACTGCACCCTAAATTGTGGGAATTTGCTTGCGGGCCCAGGCCTATAATTCCTGGGCCAGTGCTGCCCTCTCCTGGGCTCTTCTGGGAGCTTCCAGTGCTGAGAATGTCAGTGCAGGCATTCAACCGGCAGGGAGAGCCTGTGGGCCAAGACCGATTTCCCATGCTCAGTGAAGTTAACTTTTTGCAAAGAGCTGTTTAAACAAGCACGGGAATTCAGAAAGCAAGGAAGCTGGGAAGCTCTGTTCTGTGGAAAGACGCTGTGCCTGCCTTGTGTCCCAGAAGCTGCAAGGATTGTTTACTGGCTGCCCCTGAGCTCAGGGCCTCTCTCCTTTCCCATTCTTTCTGTGTCAGGCCCCTCCGATCAGGCAGACCAGCAGCGTACTTTCCCCACTTCCGATGCCACTTGCTTCTGCCAGTCCAGTATTGGCCAAAGTGAGGCGCAATTCTGCTGGTCGGGCTGCAGCTCCTGGTGCAGACCAAGCCACATTCCAGTTGTTGAGGGCATTATGAATAGAGGCTCTGACACCGGAGGTACACGGGCTCCTGGGCCTCCATGAACTTGCCCCACGTCAGGTCAGTGGCCCACAAGAGAAAACTGGGAGGGACTTCCATCTGCCCTGTGTGGAAAGGGATTGACCCCTGCCTGTTGTGGAAGAGGAAGGTGATCTGAGTATGGGCCTTTGGTGGGTTTTTTTTTTTTTTTTAACTAAATTTATTGGGGTGACATTGGTTTCTAAAGTCATGATTTTTCTTAATAAACTCTAAACCAATTTGTAACTGACTAGGCCAGGAACAGTGTCTTCCTGTGCTATGAGCATATCTTGCCAGATCTGTATGTAACATTTTGTACTTTTTTTCCTAAGTGAAATTTGGCTCCCCCTCCCCCCACCCCTCACCGCCCCCACACACTGTTATCCTAAGTTCTTAAAAAACTTGAAGGAAAGCATTTATCTAATTTATTAAAAGAAAGCAAGCTTTCCTTTGACATGTAAACACTTTCAGGTGTAAAAACTCAAAGGGGAAACATACTTCTTTTAATGCCAGTAAACACCTCATTTATTTCATGTATGTAATTTGATTTGCACATGTACAAATGGAGAGGTTTTTTGCATTTGTGCCTAGATTGGGCTTTTGTCACTGATTATAGTTGGCTTTTTTGTGTTTGCTGTATGTTCAGAAATATTGAGCGTCCGTTTCTTTGACGATATTTATTGTTTCTCTGATGTGCCTTTTCACTTTTATTTGGGGTTGATTTTTGCAATCTAGGTGTCGAAGGAAGAGCACAGACTGTTTTTAGCTTGGAGATGGGACCTGTCCTTGCACCACTGTGGATGCTCAGGCTAGGCACCAGAAATGCCTTTCAAGCCCCCTAAGCCACCACATACCTGTGTGAAACCGTGAGAACCCCAAGGCCTGGCTTCCTCCAGGCCCGCCCATGCTTTCCCAGGCTGCTGTCATGTCTTTAGGTCTGGGAATTGCTAGTTGCCAATGTGCCAGTGGGCCTGTCTGTGCTCCCTGCTACCAGGTACCTGGTGAGGTACGGCTGGGGCAGAAGACCGGCCCTAACTGAGGGACTGCACTGAAGAGAGCAGTCCCTGATGAGCTCATTAGTAGCACTGGCCCCTAACTAAACACTTTATCTGGTTAATATCATGAAGGGAGAGACTATGCACCCCTTTTTTGTTTCCTTCGTGAACACAGGGTTTAATAAAAGTGACTACTTTGTTTCCCATTTGAGAAGACAGCCCCAGTGCATCTCACTGGCAGTGAAGGCATAAATGTGACAGGTTGGACTGAAACTGTGTGTCGTTTATAGGTGAGTTTGTGCTTTTTTGACCAGACCAAGGCAGGCCACCCCATTTCTCCAAGATGGTTTACCGGGATCGTGTATATAATTAGGATATTACCACCTTCTCCCATGCCCCCAAAATTCTTGATTTGAAAAAACAAAAAAACAAAAAAACAATTTTGTTAACGACAGGCTCTGTTGTATGTGTTACTATCCCAAGTCTGGATTGTTTTATTTATTTAAAAATAGTTTAATTTTCGTATTGGCTTCATTCTAATCCCATTCATCCCTATAGGGCTTCAGAGCACCTTCATGTGAAGAGATAGATGAACATAGATTTAGACTTCTCTAGAAAGGTGGGAACTTCCTAAAGCCGAGGGTGAGTTCCTTTCATTCTCGGTGGCTTCAACAAAGCGTGGAAAACCAACTTTTTATAGCAAAAGGCCAAATTAGCTGTATAGTCTCAGATGCAGGAAAAAAATTACCCTAGCTTTCTTAGCATTTAGGGTTTTTGTGAGGATTCAGTGTTTAGAAGCGTCTGGCACATAGTAAGCCCTAGTAAATGTTAAATTGTTGTTGTTGTTGTTAGCATTTCATATGATTAGAGAAATAAAGAGCTGAGCTCACTCCCTGTTGATTCAAAAGTAATACGTTCATGAAAATATTATTCCAGGTTGATGGAATGTTGTAGGAATGACTGAGTTAGCATGTCCAAGTCCCACGCCCACCCTGCTGGTTGGAATGTTACTGTATCCTTGAATGCACTGACTGATTTGAAAATATGCCTGACTTCAGCCTCAGTTGAAACTAGGCTGCAAGAATCTGTAAACGGGGGGTGACAAGGGTGACCTCTGGCCCCATGCTGGACCTCACCCCACTGATGTCTCCTGGACCATTCCAGGTTTTTGTGGAACTTTTTCAGCCGGCAATTAGAATGAGTTCTCTGACAGACTGCACCTTTTAAAACAAAGTTAACTATATTCCTCTGAAATGCAGTAAGAGAGGCTTTTCTGGCTTTTTTATGTAAGGGGAAAGGAATGACCAATTGCGGTTACTCATTGCCTAGCAAATCCCTTTGCTGTCTGTCTCCTGCTGGCCATGGTGGCTCCTCCACAGTACAGTCCACAGGGATCAGACTCGTGGACTGGTTAACTGTCACATGTTTATATTGGTCCCAGTCCCAGAGCAGATACAGTCATCCCCCAGGCCAGTTCCACTAGCCTGGGGACCCCTAGACTATCCCACCACCCACGTGGAGCCCTGGAAGGTAGCGGGGGTGGCGGGGGGGTGGGTGGTCTTCATTCATAACCACTCCAGAGGCTGCTCACGGTTCCGTGATTATTTCCCAGATCACCTAAACATCAGTTTGCTTTTAGTTTTACTGGGGTTTTAGCCTCTTACTTCCCTGACAGATTTAGAGTTCTGTCTCCTCTCCTGTCTTGGCCCTATTCTGCACAGACTGCAGTTGTAGAATATGGAGAAATTCGCTGGAGTGTCGTGTCTTTAAGTTCCTTCCTTTTCCCTTTAGCTGAATCGGCGGTCTTAGACTCCTGTGGGCATAAGATTGGAATTTACCTTCTTCAGAGCATCATGCCCTCTATCCCCAATTTTGTGGAGCCTTAAGATTACCTCCCCCACCCACTTCAGCCCGTGAGGCATGGCTGAGGGAAGAAAGGCCAGCATGTGCTCATACCTCAGGTAGGCAGACAGGTGTGCCTGGGTGGCGCAGGGTGGGTTTCAGGGACGAGCAGGGAGCACTTGCCGTTGTGGAGGTCTGAAAGCCTGGCTGGGACAGTGGGACAGGAACTTAGCCACCTGTGCCAAAGGGGAGATGCAGCAAACTTGGGAAGCATTTTGCTCACTGTCCTGCCCAGGTATTAACAGGACAATAGTGGAACAATTGATGCCAAAGGAGATGGTGATTTCCTTTCTACTGTAGTTGCTGTCTAAACCTTGACGTCTTTAAGCTAATGGCTGTTCGTATCTGTGTCTTTAAAAAGCTCCTGGAACAACCATTTTCTACTGTTCACTCTGGGGTGAAGTAGTGCAGGATTCTGCAAATGAGGTGTCGCTGTCCAAACGTACTGTACCGGCATAGAGAGCACTGCTTTGTTTTCCACTGTTGTAGAGAAAACTAGGGAGAACTTTATTTTTCAATAAACTTTTCTTGTGTGACAGGTGGAAGTGATTTTTGGGGGGCTGGGTGGGTTGCAGGGTCACCTGCAGAATACAGCCCAGCTGTATTCCCCCACGCTGGTGTTCCACTGACTGCGTCTGCAAACACACCACTGAAAATGCTGGGGAAGGTATACTTCAGGAGTGGAGGAGAACGATTCTACTGCTGAGTATTCTTTCCCTCGTATCACATCTACCAATACTAATTTCAGAACATTTACTAAGAAAGGAACTGGATCAGAAAGTGGGCTGTTTTCTATTATTTTGACGTAGCTATGAACTTCTACATCAGATGTTTGAAGATCTTTAAGGATGTGCTAGTAAAATAGTCTAAAAAGGCCGAGGGCTTGGAATACATTCCCCTCTCTTGACAGAATTTTTGACGCAGGTCTCAGTGCCATGAGCGCCTGGTTAGGCACATGACCTGGAAACATATGGAAAGTCAAGTCCTTGGCCACACCGAAGGCTTGCCTGCTGGAGGGCATGGCTCAGTCCTCGTCAGCACAGCCTCTCTGAAGCCAGTGGAGCTCCTGGTTACTGCCCAGAACGGAGACACCATGCAGTGTTCCCAGATAGAGCACGTTTGGTGAGACATGAATCTCAAAAGAGGTGCCAAGAAAAACTTGAGTTCTCAAGGGAGGCTACACCCTAGCTTCCCCTCTCTGAGCTTCCACAATATACATTAAATACAATGAGAAAACCTGCAGAAAAGAAACCTATTGAATCGTGCCTTTCTCAGACCTATTCTAACAGCCGACACTTTTTTCCTTATAACTTGTTAACATCCCACAGAACACTCCTCAAAATGATGTTGGAGGAAGCCACACTGAGGGATCAGACCGAATCAAGGTCAGCAACTTCTTAGACCAAACCACCTCCCCTTAACCAGCCTGACATACCCAGGTGGGAAATGGGCACAGAAGGTGGGGGGCGAGGCCTGGGGAGCAGCCATCCCTCCCGGGCAAGCTCAGCTCCAAGAGCCCCGGGCACAACCAAATGAGTGCGTGGCCACTTTCCTTACCTCAGCAGGGCGCTGGTCTGCCCTACAGAGGCCACCAAGACCATCGTGACAGTCCTTAAGGGTCTCCACTCATACTCTACCAGGAATGAGTGACCTTTCCACATCATCCTTCAGTCAGGAAAACCTGCCCATGGTGGTGATAACTCTCAAAGATAACCTTCCTGTACCATACAAAACAGGTAAAGGTCTTTATTGGTGAGACACTGTCGCCTGGACAAGTGGCAGTGCTAGAGATACAGACTGTCGTATGCTGGGGAACATTATTACAGAACCTATACCTAAAGTTACACAAACTGAAGATATCTTGTACCTTACAGAGGAGTCAACCATCTCTAACAGACTGTAATGTACCATTACCACTTGACACGGCATATAGATATATGCATATATGGATAGATTATATAATTATTTATTACAAATAAACAGTTTCACATCTGTCAAAAATGGATCTTGTTTTTACATGTATGTTCGGGTTCTCCGTGTACAAGAAAGGGTCATGTGCTTAGTTCATCCATGCAAAGCTCATACATATATCACTAAGGACTTTAAAAATAGAATGGTCTCCTTTTGAATAAATCTGTTGAGTTTTAAGATTAGTAAAACAGTATGAAACTAATGAAATACACTGATAGAAATTAGGAAGTGATATATACTGGTGGTTCTGGAGAGGGGGTGGACAAAAGGGTACGTACGGTCTTCCTTTACATTCTGCCAGGAAGTAAGAGACTAGAACTACAACGTGGCTGGGGCCACTGGGAAGCCAGAGGATGTGGGTCTGGTCAGTTGCTATCCATTTCAGGCCTGGAGCACCGCCGAAGAACTTTCTTCCATGCAGCGATCTCATCCTACCCACAAGAACCTTTTTACTCCAAAAAATAGAAAAGGTCAGTTCCCACTGGAGACGGGGAAACCAGCCTCCCCTCCTGTGCGGGTTGTCCTGACGGGTGTGATGGGAGGAATGGAGCGAGGGGAGCAGTGCAGACCGACCTGCCGGGCAGGCCTCGTTCCATGAACATAAACTTTCCCAAAAAGACACTGGATGTTCACTTAAATGTTGGCACCGTCTGCCTGTGTAGACACCTCTCGCCGTCCTGACGGTCTTCATGCAGATGCAGAACCAGTGGCCCTGGCCCCTTCACTCGAACATCTCGTAGTGGCGCGTCTGCCTCGCCCTGGGCACCATGTCGATGAGGAGTCTGCAGAGAGGAGACAGGTCACCCCATCATAGACCCCCATATCCCATATCCCTGGGGCTTGTGCCCTTGCGGAAGCGGACGGGAAGGCTAATTTCTTAAAGATATAATTCGTATATCACAAAAGTCAGCCTTTTAAAGTACATGATTCAGTGGTGTTTAGTATACGCATAGGTTGTACAACCATCACCACTTCCTGCTTCTAGAACATTTTCCTCAGCCCAAAAAGAAACCCACTAGCACTCACTCTCCATTCTCCCCTTCCTACCTCCCCTTACAACCACTAATCTTTTTTTCCCAAGAAAAGATTTAATTTATAGAAGTGGACATTTATTTAGAAAACTGCTTTTAAAAGTCACCTAGTTATTTCAAGTGTAAAATTTAATGGGTTTTTTTTCCACCTATAAGTGAAATCATGGTATTTCTCTTTTTTCACTTAGCATAATATCTTCTAGGTCAGGGGTCCCCAACCCCTGGGCCATGGACCAGTACTGGTCCGTGGCCTGTTAGGAACCGGGCTGCACAGCAGGAAGTGAGCAGCGGGCCAGAGAGCAAAGCTTCACCTGTATTTGCAGCTGCTCCCCAGTGCTAGCATCACCGCCTCAGCTCCACCCCGGATCATCAGGCATTAGATTCTCTTTGGAGCATTGGTCCCTGGTGCAAGAAAGGTTGAGGACCACAACTCTAGGTTCACCCATGTTATTGCAAATGCCAAGATTTCATTCTTTCTTATGGCTGTGTAATATTCCATTGTATATATGTATATTGTGTGTGTGCGTGTGTGTGTGTGTATGTATCCATTCGTCTATTCATGGGCACTTAGGTTCGTTCCATATCTTGGCTATTGTAAATAATGCTGCCATGAACATAGGGGTGTATATATCTTTTCAAATTCGTGTTTTGGATTTCTTCAGATAAATACCCAGAAGTTGAATTGCTAAGTCATATACTAGTTCTGTTTTTAATTTTTTGAAGAACCTACATAATGATTTCCATAGTGGCTGAAAAGTTTTACAATACCATCATCAATGCACAAAGGTTCCCTTTTCTCTATGTCCTTGCCAACATTCATTGATTTACTGATAGCCATTCTGACAGGTGTGAGGTGATATTGTGGTTTTAATTTGCATTACCCTGATAATTAGTGATGTTGAACATATTTTCATATGTCTATTGACCATCTGTATGCCCTCCTTGGAAAAATGTCTATTCAGGTCCTCTGGCCATTTCCTAATTGGATTGTTTGGAGGTTGTTTTCTTTTGGGGCGGGGGACGGGGGTGGTGGTGGTGGTGAATTGTTTGAGTTCTTTATGTATTTTGGATATTAACCCTTTATTGGATGTATCATTTGCAAATATCTTCTCCCATTCGGTAGGATGTTTTTGTGATTTATTGATGGTTTCCTTCCCTGTGCAAAAACTTTTTAGTTTGATATAGTCTCATCTGATTATTTTTTTCTTTTGTTTCCCTTGCCCGAGAAGATGTAGCCAGAAAATTATTACTGAGAGTTTACTGCCTATGTTGTCTTCTAGGAGTTTGATGTTTTGGGTTTTACATTTAAGTCTTTAATCCATTTTGAGTTTATTCTTGTATATAGTCTAAGAAAGTGGTCTAGTTTCTTTTGCATGTATCTGTCCAGTTTTCCAAACCCCATTTACTGAAGAGACTATCTTTACCTAATGTATACTCTTGCCTCTTCTGTCATAGACTTACTGATCATATAGGTGTGGGTTTATCTCTGCACTTTCTATTCTGTTTCATTGATCTATGTGTCTGTTTTTATGCCAGTACTATGCTGTTTTGATTATTATCGCCTTATAGTATAATTTGATGTCACGTAGTATGATACCTTTAACTTTGTTCTTCTTTCTCAAGATTGCTTTGGGTATTCAGGGTCTTTAATGGTTCCATATAAATTTTAGGATTTTTTGTTCTAGTTATGTGAAAAATGCCATTGGTACTTTGATAGGGATTGCCTTGGATAGTACGGGCATTTTAACGATGTTAATCCTATCCATGAGCACAGTATAGCCTTCCATTTACTTTCATTTCTTTTTTTGATGTCTTCCAAGTACAAGTCTTTTACCTCCTTGGCTAAATTTATTCCTAGGTTATTTTATTTTTGATGCAATTGTAAATGGGATTTTCTTAATTTTGTTAATAGTTTATTGGCACCTGATTTCTGAATATTAGTTTTATATCCTACTAATTTATCGAATTCATTTATTCTAACAGTTTTTTTTTGGTGGACTCTTCAGGGTTCTCTACATATAGTATCATGTCATCTGCAAATAATGAGTTTTACTTCTTCCTTTCCAATTTGTATGCCTTTCCTTTTTTTTTTTTTGTCTCAGTGCTATGGCTAGGACTTCCAATACCGTGTTGAATAAAGGTGGTGACAGTTCCCGATGTTAAAGACAAGGCTTTCATCTTTTCCCCATTGCGTATGATGTTAGCTGTGGGTTTGTCATATGGCCTTTATTATGTTGAGATATGTTCCCTCTGATCTCACTTTACTGAGGATTTTTATCATAAATGGATGCTGGATTTTGTCAAATGCTTTTTCTGCATCTATTGATATTATCATATGATTTTATCCTTCATTTTGTTTATGTGGAGTATCATGTTAATTGATATGCAGATATTGAACCAACCTAGGAATCCAGTTGATCATGGTGTATGATCTTTTTAATGTATCAGGATTTTGCATCTAAGTTCATCAGGGATAGTGGCCTGTAACTTTTTTTTCTTTTTCTCTTTTTTTTGGTAGTATCTTTGTCTGGTTTTGGAATAAGAGTAATTCTGGACTTGTAAAATGACCTTAGGAGCTTTCCCTCCTCTTCAATTTTTTGGAATAATTTGAGAATGATGTTCTTTAAATGCTTGGTAGAATTTACCTGTGAATCTATCTAGTACTGGACTTCTGTTTGTTGGGAGTTTTTATTACTGATTCAATTTCCTTTTTAGTAATCAGCCTGTTCAGATTTTTTGTTTCTTCTTCATTCAGCCTTAAAGTACTGCATGTTTCTAAGAATTTATCCATTTATCCCACATTGTCCAATTTGTTGGCATGTAATTAGTTGTAGTATTTTCTTATAATCTTTTGTATTTCTGTGATGTTAGATATCACTTCTCCTCTTTCATTTTTATTTTATTTGATTTTATTTGGGTCCTCTCTTTTTCATTTTAAGTTTGGCTAAAGGTTTACCAATTTTATCTTTGCGAAGAACCAGCTCTTAGTTTCATTGATCTTTTCTATTGTTTTTTTTTTAGACTCTATTTCCTTTATTTCTACTCTGATCTTTGTAATTTCCTTCTATTCACTTTGGGCTTTGTTTGTTCTTCTTTTTCTAGTTCATTTAGGTGGAAGGGTAGATTGAGACTTTTCTTGTTTCTTGAGGTAGGCCTCTGTTGCCATAAATTTCCCTCTTTTAAGTGCTTTGGCTGTGTCCCATAAATTTGGGGTCATTGTGTTTTCATTTTCATTTGTCTCAAGGTTATCTTTTGATTTCTTCCTTGATCTGTTAACCCATTATTTAGTAGCATCTTATTTAGCCACCACATGTTTGTGTATTTTTTTAGTTTTCCTCTTGGAATTGATTTTTAATTTCATACTACTGTGAACGGAGAAGATGCTTGATAAATTTTAGTTCTTAAATTTACTGAGACTTGCCTTATAGCCTAACAC